AAGAAGCTCCTGGCTCCTGGCTTCGGATCGGCTCAGCTCCAGCCGTTGTGGCTGCTTGGGGAGTGAATCAATGGACGGTATATCTTCCTCTCTGTCTCCTCATCTCTGTATATCTCACTTTCCAATACAATTTTTTAAAAAAAGATGTTTTTGTTTGAAAGGCAGAGACAGAGCTCTCGCCAGTCATTTCGCTCCTCCAAATGTCTGCATTGGCAACGGCTCGACCAGACGGAAGCCGGGAGGCAGGAACAATCCAGGTCTCTTTTATGACAGGGACACAATGACCGAGTCATCACCTGCCACCTCCCAGGATGTGAATTAACAAGAAACTGGGATTTAATGAAAGCAAAGCTGGATTCCTGAGACTCTGATGTCGGCACGCACGTGTCTTAACCACTATGTTTTCAGAATAATAACAGAGGGGACACTGTTGTAGCACAGTGTGTAAAGCCACTGCCTGTGATGTCAGCATCTTAGGGATGTTGATTTGCTTCACTTCCAATTGAGTTCCCTGCTAATGGCCTGGGAAAAACAGCGAAAGATGGCCCAAGTGCTTGGGTCCCTGTTGTCCACTTGAGAGACTTGGATAAAGGTCCTTGCTCCTGGCTTTAGCTTGGCCCAGTCCTGGTTGGTGTGGCCCTCTGGGGAGTGAGCCAGCAGATGGAAGATCTCTGCCTCTGTCCCTGTGCACATCCCTTGACTTACATTTAAATGCACAATCTTTTAAAAAATAATAATAGCAAAAAAAAAAAAAAATAGGGTCAGATGGCGTGTCCCTAGTGTAGCATTTGTTGCCTGGGTGCGTTTAGCTCTGTTCTGGGCCCAGACATTAGCTCAGAGACCAGAGCTGTGAGTCCTAAGAGCGACAGCATCTCCCAGAACAGACAGACGCACGTTCACCACGCTCATGAGACTGATATTTCAAATCAGATGCCACTTCACTCATTTCCAAGGGGAAGCAGGACTTGAAGCAGACAGGAAGCTGTTCACCCGAGTGCATTCTCTCCCTGTGGGTGGATCTGCAGGGGAAGCAGAATGGTTTTTGGAGGGTTGCCTGGTGATCCAGTGTGTGACTAAGAAGGGATCTGAACTGACTGGCTTCAGAGGGATGTGTCCTTCTTCCTGCCAGCATCTCTGTCCCAGGATGGTAACAGGATGGATACTGCTGATTACCTTGGCAACTCACCATGGTCTCTGGTTTCCTTGGCTACCCTGACCATCCCTGCTGCGTGAACAACCTTCACCAGGTTACAGCGTGCACTGGGTCTGACGGTTATCCTGACATACATTGGTAAGTCTCTACATTTTTTATTTAGTTTTTTGTTTTTTAGATGAATTTCTTTGAAAGGCATAGTGACAAAGAGAGGGAATGGGAGAGAATAAGAGATTCTCCCATCTGCTGTCTCAAATAGCCACAAGGTCTGTCAAGGCCGAGCACTGGGCTCTCCAACTTGGGGGGCCAAAGCCCCTGTACTTGGGTCATCTTCCATGACCGAGCTGGACTGCAAGAGGAGACATCTGGACTGTATCTGGCACTGGAATGCTGGTGTTGCGAGCTGCAGCACTGGTGACCTAGTCTGTTGTGCCCCAGGGACAGCTCTGCCACCTCTCTACCTCAGTATTAGGGGCCTTGTTCAGCCAGGCAGCACATTTCCTAACCACTCAGGCTGTGATGGGCTCTGTTCTAAGCCCCAGGCTGACGGTGAGAAACAAGACTAATGTTTGGCCTTGCTGCCTGGAGCTTGTGGTCTGCTGAGGAAGACAGACCTCACACAAATAATTAATAAGTATGCAAAGTGAAGGAGCAGCCTGACTCTCAGAAGACAATGTAATTTCCTTTTTCCTGTCTTTTAAGGGGGCATATCTTGGTGTTCCTAGAAATCACCTATAATCTTGAACTCATAAGCCTGCACTCCTGAAGCAGAACCAGTTCTCCAAGCACAAATCTCCAACCTCCCATAAAATCTGTACTCTCAGATTCCCCTAATAAAGTTGCTTTCTGCTTGAAAATTTTTTTCTTTTTATTAGAAAGGCAGATTTAGGTAGGGCCCAGCACAGTGGCCTAGCAGCTTAAGTCCTTGCCTTGAACGCACTGAAATTTGATATGGGTCGGTTCTAATCCCAACGCCCCCACTTCCCGCCCATCCAGCTCCCTGCTTGAGGCCTGGGAAAGCAGTCGAGGATGGCCCAAAGCCTCGGGATCCTAAACCCACATGGGAGACCTGGAAGGGCTCCTGGCTTCGGATTGGCTCAGCTCCAGCTGTTGCGGTCACCTGGGGAGTGAACCATCGGAAGGAAGATCTTCCTGTCTCTCCTCCTCTCTATATATCTGACTTTGAAATAAAAATAAATAAACCGTTAAAAAAAAGAAAGGCAGATTTACAGAGAAAGATCTTTCATCCATTGATTCATTCCCAATATGGCCACAATAGTTACAGCTGAGCTGACCCAAAGCCAGGTCTCCCAGGTGGCTGCAGGATCTCAAGGCTTTGGATCATCCTCCTTTGCTTTCCAGGGTCATAAGCAGGGAGCTGGATGGGAAGTGGAGCAGCTGGGCTATGAAATGGTGCCCTTAAGGGATGCCAATGCTTGGAGGTGGAAGATTTGCCAATTTAGCCATTGTACCAGGCCCCACATTTTCTTTTTTATACAACTCTTCAGAGTTAAATTGTTTCATTTTCCCCCTCTTTTGTTTAGATTTTTGTGTATCTATTTACAAATCTAACCCTATACATTCCCATCATAACTAACAGTATTATTCCATATAGTTAAGGACTTGGGCCATCCTCCACTGCCTTCCAAGGCCACAAGCAGGAGCTGGGTGGGAAATGGAGCAGTACAGACATGAACCGGTGCCTATATGGGATACTGATGCTTGCAGGTGGAGGATCAGTCTGTTGAGCCACCGCGTCAGCACTGGGCTTTGCAATTTGTTACCAAGAGCAGTACCAGTTACCCTAGCGATTCAGATATCTCTGAACCGCAGAATAAGTCACTAAAATTTGCTGAGAGCCTCTGCCTCTGAATTCTAAAGCTAGAACCCTTCTGATACGTGCCTTCTATTCAGGTTACAATGGGCAGCACAGTCAAGGACAAACTTGAGGCCAGTTCACCAATATTTACCCAAAGCTACCACAGGTCCTGAGCTTGTTGTGACTGAGGGTGTCCCACATGCACCTGAGACCCAGCCAGTCCCAAACTCAGGGTACCAGCTCCCCTCCCACCTGCATTCCATAGTCTAACAACCTGTATTGACTCACCTTCTACACTTGTTTCGGTATCTTTTAAAAAAAGGTTTATTTACTTTTTTATTTGAAAAGCAAATGAAAGAAATGACCACAGAGGGCAGAATCAATCTGAAGCCAGGAGATTCTTGCAGGTCTTCCATGTGGGAGCAGGGGTCCAAGGTCTTGAGCCATCCTCCGCTGCTTTCATAGGTCATAAGCTGGATTGGAAGTGGAGCAGCCAGGACACGAACCAGTGCCCTATGGGATGCCAGCGCCATGGTGGCGGATTAGCCTATTATGCCACCAGACCAAGCCCCTAGTTTGTCTAAAAGGGTCGGAGGAAAACACAGCCAACGGGCACCCTGGAGAGGGTTAGACAGACACCAGAACATTCTAGATGTATTGGCTGCTATCCCCGGTTATTTTCCTTAAGCCTAAATCTCCGACTGGCAGTAGAGTTTCAGTTTTTCCTCTTTTACCAAAGGCAGTCTATGCACGGAAGACGCAAGGAGTTGCAGTCTGTCCTGGCTACTCACAGAAAGTTTAGATGTCTACCACGCTGCCTTGGTGTGAGTCAAAGCTTCGGACAACTTAATAACTTGATCCACAGGGAGCAAGTGGCTACGCAAGGATGTGTAGGAAGCTTCCAGATTCCCGCTGTGCCATTTCCTCTCCTTGGCTAGCAAGCCCTTGACCAGTGCTAGTTGTGGCAGGCGAGGGTCTTAGCCCTGTCCATGCCTTGGAGGAAATGCTCCTTCCTGGCCCCATCAGCATCACCACGCCCCTTCCCCAGACAAAATCCAGACACCAACGCTGCGACGCCAGCTTTACCAACCCTTCGCCTTCCAGAGGAGACTGAGCCCCCTAAAGGTCTCGGCTCTGGTTCGCAAGTCCGCAATTTCCCTCCACCTAGCTGTGGTCCAGGTTTGGGCCACAAAGCTCAAGAAATGGACCGAAGGAAGATCAGGCAGACATTGCCACGAGCCTCGAGGCCGAGAGCCGCCAGGTGGCGCGGTGGAGGTGCGGCTGCCCCCCGCCGCGGGCCGGACGCACCTGAGCCCAGCCGGGCGCGCCAGGGGAAGCCGGGTTCGCGGGACTCGGCGGGGAGGAGCTCGGGTACCCAGCCCAGAGGTGGCATTATTCAGGGACTGGATCTGCCCGCGCCTCGCTAGAACCACGCTTCAGCCAGGCGAGGGACTGCCCGGCTCCCCAGCTCTCCTCCTGCTCCGCGCTCGCCAGGGTGCAATTTATTTGGGGCGGGGGGTTGGAGGGAGGCCGAAGGGAGGGCTGCCGGCGGGGGGTGGATGGAATCCGGCGGGCGAGTCCAGCCAGGAGGTGGGGCCTGCCCCACCTGTCCACCGCCGGGGGCGGGGCGGGGGGCGGGGCTCGTCCCCTAGGACCCGCCCCTCGGTCCCTGGGCTCGGGGCGCGCGACGAGATATAAGGCAGCCGGGAAACAATGCGCCTGTAGCTCGCGCTCCCGCGCCGATCCCGGTAGCGTCCGGGCCGCCGTGCGCGAGCTGGGGGGCGGGGGGCGCGCGCGCTCGGGAGTGCGGGCCGCGCGCTCGGTGGCGCGCATGTGCGTGTGTGCGGGCTGCCGGGCTGCCCCGAGCCGGCGGGGAGCCGCTCCGCTCCAGGTGGCGGGAGGCGGGAGCGTGGTGAGGCTGCGGGTGGCCAGGGCACGAGCGCTGGTCCTCGAGGGGCGGGCGGACTGCGGGCTGCCTTCAGGGCACGGCGCGCCCCCGCCCGGCCCGGCCGGACCCTGGGAGCCGCGCTCCGGGCGGCGCTGGCAAAGTTTGCTTTGAACTCGCTTCCCCCGCAGCCGGGTCCGCGCACGGTGAGCGGCTTCTCCCGGCTCTCCAAGCCGCGGCCAGGCTGCCCGGGTCCAGGGAGGGACCGGAGCCCGGCGGCCGCCGTGTTCAGGCACCCGGGGACGCTCCTCTTCCCTCCCCACCACCACCACCACCACCCCCGGCCCGCACCCCGGTCGGCACGTCCCCTCCCCTCCCGCAGGGAGCGGACATGGACTTCGACTCGTACCAGCACTATTTCTACGACTACGACTGCGGGGAGGATTTCCACCGCTCCACGGCGCCCAGCGAGGACATCTGGAAGAAATTCGAGCTGGTGCCGTCGCCCCCCACGTCGCCGCCCTGGGGCTCCGGTCCCGGCGCCGGGGACCCAGCCTCTGGGATAGGGCCCCCCGAGCCCTGGCCCGGAGGGGGCTTCGGGGACGAAGCGGAATCTCGGGGCCACTCGAAAGCTTGGGGCAGGAACTACGCCTCCATCATTCGCCGCGACTGCATGTGGAGTGGCTTTTCGGCCAGGGAGCGGCTGGAGCGAGTGGTGAGCGACCGGCTCGCCCCCGGAACCCCTCGCGGCAACCCTCCCAAGGCGCCCGCTGCGCCGGACTGCACTCCCACTCTCGAAGCCGCCAACCCGCCGCCCGCCGCCCCTTGTCAGCTAGGCGAACCCAAGACCCAGGCCTGCTCGGGGTCCGAAAGCCCCAGCGACTCGGGTAAGGACTGCCCCGGGGCCATCCTAGAGGAGGTGGGCATCCCCTGGGTGGCCCCAGCTCAGCCGCCGCCTGAGGTCATTGCCGGGCGCATCTCAAGCCTGCGGTGGCGGCTGCCTCCCCCTTTTTTTTCTGACCGGAGCTGCCGGTGTAGCCCTCGGCACTGTCTGTCTGACACGTGCGTGTGTTGGTAAACAGTTTGGAGAAGTGGGGAGGGAGCCGGCGGCCCTTTGACGGTGATTGGAGCCCCAGGGGACAAGAGAGGCTTGGGGAGGGTCGGTGATTAGAGAGGACAATACTCGGGTTGGACAGCAGGGGATTTCTGTCCTTGCAAGGTTAGAAGAGGTCCCTTCTGAGTCGCTGAGCTGGAAGCTTTTTTTTGTTGCTGCCTTTTTCTCTGGGAAACTCACACTCCTAGGAAAAGCCTTTTGTGCAAAGCCAAAGCCTTCCTCTCCCTAAAGCCCGGTCTCCAACCTAATTTACTTTCAATGACCAGGGTACCCCCTACCCCACTGCACCTCCCATCTCTTGCCACCGGTCCGTGCTGGTCATCCCGCCCCTCCCTCCCCCAAGAGGACAGTTAGGAGGGAGAAATGAGTGGTCCCCATGAACAGAGGGGAAGACTGAGGCTTGGAGAGAGGACATTACCTGCAGCGGGACCCCTGTGTCCTGCCGGCTAACCAGCTTTCCTCCATCCCTGCCCAGGCACCTCTTCCTTGACACCCGAGAGGGGTCGGCATGGTAGTTTGAGAAGCCTAGGTGGCAAGCTGTCCTTGGAGCTCCCTCTCAGTACACCTGCTCCTTTTCCATCAATAAACAGCTGGGCCAGGTGCTGAGTTCAGGACCATGGAGCCCCAGGCTGTCCTCCTGCAGTCTGAATGCTAGTGCAGGCTTGAGCCACTCGGAGCCGCTGGACACTGTGCTGACCCCAACCTCTGTAACCCATGACACATCCTGGAGAAAGCACTTTTGTGTAGGGGACTGATTCAGACCAGTGGCAAGTCGGTCAAAACGTAGGAAACGCACTGTCGGTTTAAAAAAACAACAACTTCCATGAGCTTTTGAGAAGGAACTGCGGAATGGGATGTGGCGGTTGTACACTTGGAAGGGAAGTGAAGACAACATGAGAATTAAAAGTCAGGTTCCTCTCCCCACCCCCCATCTGCTGTCTGTAAGGTCGTTTTTAACCTGTTTTCCCTCTACTCCAAGAACTTGTGTTCATTTAGTAGCTGGAATGAGAGTCTTGAAACTGAGAAACTGTAAAGATATATTCCTACAAAGGCTGGCCAAGTGCTAGAGAGGAGAGAGCATTGTTTTGGAAGTTAGGAATATTTAGTTTGCCCCCCCGGAATGTTACAAATGTGGACGTGATCCAACACCAGCTCAGGGTCTCCTTTTGCGTGTGAGGGGTTTTGAACTGCTGGGTCTTACAGTTAGACTGTACTCTGAAAAGAATAGGAATTTAGATTATTATTTTCTCCTTACACCATTCCTTCCCCAGCCATAATATTCCCCACTGAAAATGAAAGGTTTCGGGTATAGGAAAGCTTCCTGAATTATCTTCTGACCTGTTCTTTAACCTGAGCCTGTTTGTGGGCTCCCGGTTCACTCTCAGGCCACATGGCCTAGAACAAAATGCAACAGATTGCAAACAATGAGGGGGGGGTGGGGAGAGTGAGTGACGGCAGGGCTCAGCCAATAGGGTTAGGGGCTGGGTAAAACGGCAGTCCAAACACAGCTGAGCCAGCCAATCACAGGCTTTGAGGCCAGGAGGGCTGAATGGTCAGGTTTTATTAATGGAGAAATAATGCGATTGTCCACACAATGGAAGCCTTCCTGACAAAGGGGTTCAAGCTTCCTGATATGCAAAAGAGGCTGAGAACAGAGCGGTTCAGCTGTCAGGGGAACTGCACGAAGGTGGCCTTCTTGGGGCGGGGGAGTCTCAAATGTGTGCAGCAGGAGAGTCCCCCACCCCCTTTCCTCTCTTCTGCCTGAGTTAGCCTAGAAGAGCTGGAATCGGGATGGTAGGGACAGTTCTGGGTGTCTGCAGCTCCCTGCTGTTTTGCCCCTCGTGTTGGACTAATCCCCTGCCAGTTAGCCTGGGCCTGTGGGGCAGGTGGCTTGGAGGTGGTGACTCGGACCTTTGTGAAGTTCCTGCAGCTCTGCCAGGCCTGTAATTACAAATCCAATCTCTTGTGGTCCAGGGAAGGGGGTGGGGCAGGCGACCGATAAATGATGGATGACTTTGGAAACCCATTGAACCCAGGAGCAAAATGCTCCTAAGGGAAACCTTTTCCCTCCCCGCCCTGGGCCAGGAAGCATGGGTGGCAGCCCACCCTTCTCAGAATCTTCAGCTGAAAGGGATGGCAGAATAGAGAGGTGGGGGAATAATAGGATTTATAACTTGTGAAAAGTAACAATTCCCCAAGTGCAGGCTGTGCTGGGCAGGAACAAAGGGCAGCTCTGCCCACAGACCCCTCATTTACAATTCTGATGGGGCATGAAAGAGTCCGACCAGGGAAGATCTTTATAGCTAAACTTTGTCCCAGACCCGGTAGCTCTGTCTCTGCATCCCTTCAGCAGGGGGAGGGGAGAGCCTGTGCAGACTGGGGGCTTTTGGCTTGGGTCTGCCTTTTGTTCTTATCTAAGCCTTACTGTGCCAAAGGAAATGGGAGAATATTTTCCTTCTTGCTGATTTCCCTTCCTTTCCTCCTTTCAGTCCCTACCCTTTAGCAAACGCACCAGCCGATCTGCGATTTGTTTATAGCTAGCTTCCCCGGCCCCTGTGTAAAAACGCTGTGGTCTTGTGTGTGTGTGTGTGTGTGTGTTTTCTCACAGGAGGTGTGTCTTTTCTCTCTCCTTGGTTAGAAGGTGAGGAGATCGACGTGGTGACAGTGGAGAAGAGACAGTCTCTGGGTCTCCGGAAGCCGGTCACCATCACCGTGCGGGCAGACCCCCTGGACCCCTGCATGAAGCGTTTCCACATCTCCATCCACCAGCAGCAGCACAACTATGCTGCCCGCTTCCCCCCAGAAAGTCACTCCCAAGAAGGGGCTCCAGAGGGAGCACCCCCAGGAGAGTCTCTGCAGAGAGAGGCTGCAGAGGAGAAGGAGGAGGAAGATGAGGAAGAGGAGGAGGACGCAGAGATGGTGAGCCTCCCGCCGGCAGAAAACCAGGCTTCTCAGCCCTGCCACCCCAGACCCGTCAGTTCCGACATGGAGGACGTGACCAAGAGGAAGAACCACAACTTCCTGGAACGCAAGAGGCGAAATGATCTCCGATCGCGATTCTTGGCCTTGCGGGACCAGGTCCCCACCCTGGCTAGCTGCTCAAAAGCACCCAAGGTAGTGATCCTAAGCAAGGCCTTGGAATACTTGCAAGCCCTGGTGGGGGCCGAAAAGCGAATGGCCACAGAGAAAAGGCAACTCCGCTGTCGGCAGCAACAACTACAGAAAAGAATCGCGTACCTCAGCGGCTACTGACTGTCTCCCCAAGGCACGAGTTGATTTTGTAACCTGCTCTATCCCCTTTAGTAATTTGCACATTTGGGTTCTGGTGGGATGGTCTCAGCAGTAGCTCCCAAGATGCATTGCAGCTGGAGCATGCATGTGTGCGCGCACACACACACACACACACACACACACACACACACAATGAGAGCTTGCCTTCTTAGAAGCCTTAGAGCCCAGCTCTCCCCCTGACTCCGAGGGAGTGCTGTATCTTCTCTGGCGCCTTTGGTTTCTCTTTAGGCAGCTGACTGAGGAGCCTTGGGCTCTGTCTCCCTCATACGCTCGGAAGAAAAGGCTGACAGATGCTATGCAACAGGTGGCGGACGCTGAGGGAGGGGGACGCGGGCTCTGGCCTGCATGAAATCTCACACTGCAGGAGCGTTAGCTGGGAAAGGATGCTCTCACTGGTGTCTCCGGGGGTGAGGCAAGGACAGCTGGGCCTGGACACTCTCCCCGAGGCTCCTTTTTCCAGGAGACACTCGAGCTGTCGTGGTAAAGACGAGCTCGCAGACTCGATCCACAGGGACCGTTACCTCATCTTCAGACACTTTACAGGAGCCGAGGAGCCCAGACTTTTCATGGCCGTGTCCTGGTGCCGGAAGACACTCCTCCTCCCGCTCTCAGGCGTGCAATCCTGAGAGCGTGTACAGAACTTGGCTTCTCCCACCTTTATCTCAGAGTCCTTCTGTCCTCATGAGGGACTTTTTTGGTTTCCTCCTGCCTTCATTATGCAACGGCCCCTCCGGCACCCTTTCCCACAGGTCAGAAAGGGTTTGCCAAGACACAGGGAAGTGAGACTTAGACCAGGGCCTGGGGAAGGCTTGGAGTCCTGGCCCTAAATCTTGTTTCCTGTCCAGGTGTTTTCCAAGGGGCACATTCTTGGAATCTTTGCTCAGTGCAGGTGTAAGGCACCTCAGAAGGGAGAACCATACCACTTCCTCTTTCCCACCTGCCTCTTGTTTTATTCTCTGACTGGCAAGTCTGAAGTTCTAGTGGAACCATGCACACCAGTCCACATGCAACGCTAAGGAGCTTCCTGGCCTTGCAGCCACCAGCTTGGGTTCAGGCCAGCCTGCCGTGAGTCAGATCCCTTTCCCAGAGTCTGGGCCTAACTGAGGTTCTGGAGAGAGCACCTGGAATCTCATCCAGGGCCCCAGAAGGTAGATTCACTTCCCAGGGGGGTTTGAAGGAGGTCTCCAGTAGGTCTGCATAACCAACCACGACAGGTTTTGCCCCAGCTGGACTCTGTAGCTCCAAATCAAATCCAGGCACAGCCTGAAATCCTGGAAAGCCACCCAGCCAAGCAGGTGACATGTGGACCTTCGGAAGGAATCCCTAAGCCTTGCAAGGAACCAGGAGCAGCCCCCTTCAGACCCGTGCCCTGGACAGCAGCAGGTGCCTGCTGGCTTGAAGTTTGAAAGTGGGGGAGGGGAGATAATAGGCAGTACTCTGGCCCTGCAAAACCAGCTGATACACACAAAGCCTTTGGCCATGGCGGTGTGTTTTTGAGGCTGTGAGCTATCCTCGGAAAAGCGTCAATGGGAGTTTGGGACATAGACCCTCCACCTTCTGGAGCGCAGTTTTCAGGAGCCAGCTGACTTCTGGAATTGTTTTTTTGGAGGGCAGGTGGGGTGTAGGTGACTGATGGCTCAACTGAACAGCTTGTGTTTTATAAGCTGCTGTTGGGTGTTATGTTGGGGGGAGGTTTTTTTTAATATATATATATATATATACTGTATTTTTGTATGCCTTTTGCAAAGTGGTGTTAACTGTTTTTGTACAAGGAAAAAAACCCCCCTTGGGCAATTCCGTTGCAGAGGTCTGATTTATATTGAAAGGCAAGTTTAATTTCAATTTTGAATTTAGTTGTGATTATTGATTGCCTGATTTTAAAATGTTGCCTTCTGGGACATCTTCTAATAAAAGATTTCTCAAACATGTTGGAGTGGGGGCAGCTCATGCCATCTGGGTTCTCCTGAGGCAAGGAGAGCTACTTCTGGGGAGCTACAGGCAATCCAGAGAACTGCGTTTCTCTAACCCTGCCACTAACCTGGCCAAGCCACTCTGGGTTCCTGAAATGCCATTTCAGACATGTCCAAACAGCGTAAGCTCAGGACTGGGTGAACATGAAATTCTCTTGTGAATTGCAAAAGTGCCCAATTTGTAGAAGACTTGAAATCCCAGCTCTACCACTTCTTCGGGGACCTTTGGCTTTACCTTTTGGATGCTTGTTTTTCCTATCTGTAAAATGGGGATAAGTGCTATCTCGCAGGGTTGTCTTGCAGGTACTTAATGAAGTAGACTTTTCAAAACTCTAAAGCCTTATGTTCTTTAAGATGATGCTGTTCTCAATAATGCTGTGATGACATTTTACAGAGTCTTTTTCTGTTTTTTATGATATAGTTCCAAAGGCTCAGGGATTTTTTTTTTTTCCACATCCCCCTACTTCCCCACTGTTTTCCACAGGGTTTGTTTGTTTTTAATTTTTATTGAAAAGGCAGATATACAGAGAGGAGGAGAGACAGAGAGGAAGGTCTTCCGTCCCATGGTTCACTTCCCAAGTGACCGCAACGACTGGAGCTGAGCCAATCAGGAGCCTGGAGCCTATTCCTGGTCTCCCATGCAGGTGCAAGGTCCCACAGCTTTGGGCCATCCTCGCCTGCTTTTCAGGCCACATGCAGGGAGCTGGATGGGAAGCAGGGCTGCCAGGATTAGAACCGGTGACCATATGGGATCCCGGTGCATGCAAGGCGTGGACTTTAATCACTACACTATCGCACCAGGCCCAAGGTTTTTTTGTTTGTTTTTTTTTAAGATTCATTTATTTTTTGTTGGAAAGTCAGGTTTATAGGGAGGAAAAGAGTTATATCTTCCATCTGGAAGATCTCTTAATTCTTCCCTCTTGCATCTACAGCAAGTTATGGGAAAGACTTTTTTTCATTAATCAAGGGAGAAAGAAAAAAACTGCCTTTCAGTTAAAAAAGAAAAAAGAGGGAAGGAGAAACAGAAAAATCTTCTATCTGCTGGTTGGCTTCCCAAATGGCCACAAGAGCCAAAACTGAGCTGATCAGGAGCTTCTTCCAGGTCTCCCCCATGGGTGCAGGGACCCATGGTTTTGGAACATCCTCTACTGCTTTTCCAGGCCATCAGCAGGGAGCTAGATGAGAAGTGGACAGCCAGGGATACAAACGCGCCCATACGGGATCCTGGTGTGTATACAACATGAAGATTTAACCATTGAGCCATTGTATTGGGCCCTGTATCTTTTGAAAGTCAGATTTACAGAGAGAGGGAAAGACCAATCTTCATCAGCTGATTCACCGCTGAGATAGCTGCAATAGCCAGTACTGAGCCAGGCATTAGCCAGAAGTTAAGAGCTTTATCCAGGGCTGCCACAAGAGTGGCAGGGACCCGAACACTAGAATCCCAGGCCATTAGCAGGGAGCTAGATCAGAAGTGGAACAGCCAGGACACAAACTGGGATGCGAACACTAAAAGGCAGTGGCTTAAATTACTAATGTCACAATGCCAGCCTCCTAAGTGTTATCTTAACTGCTGTACGAAATGCTCAGCCCAGAGCTTAAGCATCATTTGACTGCTTGTTAGAACTGTTTCCAGTGCCGTTGTATGACCTACTTACTGGGATGAAAGGTAACAAATGGCCCATGCCCAGCTACCCTGCAGCATTGATGTGCTGGGATTGTCTTGTTCCAAAGAGGCTCCTTCTGGGACTGTAGAAAGAACATATCTGCTGTTGGGAAAGCCATGGGCATTGTGGTGTAAGAAGGCCACTCTGCCTCCATGTGTCCAGCTGGGGCTCGGGTTGGTATTGCCTACTAGCATTCCTATGGAGAACAAGAAGGCTTAAGAAAGGACCCTTAATTCCTTATGTTTCAAAGGCACCTGTACCACACCTGGTAAGTAAGTAAGCAGGGTTCAGCTTATGGTATTGGAACCCAAGTTGTTGTCTTGCTCAGAGTCAAGATTGCACACCCAGTCTCCTGGCAGGTATATACACCCTTTGATGCCCTTCTCCCCACTGCAACCACCAACTGTCCCTGAGTCACAAAACCCAGAACCCAAGTTGCTGTTTGATAAAACAGATTTGGATTACTGGAACTCTTTCCAAACTCCCCATGTGTTCATCTTCCTTTTTCCAAGACCATGTGTCAAGGGACTGACTCTAGAGCAGAGCGTCTTTCCTCCTTCCGTACTTTGGGAAGAATTACTGGACACTCAGAATGGTCAGAACCTGTGGCTACAGACATCCCGTGCTGGTTGTTTTGTTGATATTCACAATAACCTAGAGAGCTGAGTGGTGTCAGGCCCATTTCACACACAGGCAAATGAAGCATGGAGTCATGTAGGCCATCTGCCCAAGCCCACACCACTCAAAGCAGCTGCCACACTCCAAGCTTCAGCTCCTTTTAAGTCAACTCTGCCCAGAAAGCCACCTCCTGGGGGAAGGGAGGGTGTTTCTGGAATGTGAAGTATTTTAAGCTCCTTCCTACAGTCTCCTACCTCTGTCTTTGTCTGAAAACAGCCAGGAGTTTATTCCTGGATTTCAGGGAACAGTTTCCTACAAATGAGTTTCACTTCTGAATGGTGACCACACACAGCTAAGTTATGGACAATGAGGGCTGCAGAGAAACCACGCGTGGAGTGAGAAAAGCAGGCTGTCTTCTCCATTAGGTAATACTTGCCTAAAGCCCGGGCTTAACTCCTGCATCCCCTGGCAGTTATTCCCGGGAACTAAGACACATTGAATCACCTTAGAGAGGCTGCCTTTGAGTTGTTTCTATGGTCAGGATATTCTAGAATGTTCACCTTACGAGGGTAAACATGGACTGGAAGGTCTCTGGTGAACTGGAAGGTAACAAGATGGGGAGATAGAGAGGTATTCTTCCTAAGGAGACGATAACCAGTCAGGAGGTGACTGGGGAGGGGGCGAAATGGATCCATTAGCATCCCATTGACCTGTGGGCATTTCCTCTGTAAGTCCAGCAGGCAGCTTTAGTTAGTATCTG